TTCCCTTCCCACAAAAGATGGTCCCTATTTTTCTACTTGCATTTTTACCTGCTTTCGAACTGCTAGGTTGGCAGAAGCTGGGACAAGTCACGGGAGCTCCCTCCGTTACGCGGTGTTAGGGATTTGAAATGCCAATCTTTCTGACTGACAAGCTCAGGGCCACTGAGCCACTGTGTCCCTTCAAATATATATTAAATTTGATATATCAAAGTATATCAACCCATTGTGGCTGTAATGTGATCATTTATTCCTTTTTATTATCTGAGTTACTTCGCCCTTTTATTGGTATTATTATTATTTCCTCTGTCGCCTTGCAAATATACTGAGTACAGCTGTCATCTGCATTTAATGGCCCAATGGCTCCACCTTGTGAGGTGGAGTCTGGGCAATTGAGTGGAGTTAGCAGTGTGTTTTACTGGCCAGATGCCCTTCCTGTCGCCAATGAGGAGTTTTGTTCAGCAGATACATTTTTGGTGTGCCCAGAGAGAGAAATACCTGCCTCCAACTAGGATCGAACTCGCAGCCTCCTGATTGTCACACTTGGCCAAATAAAATACAGGTAATCCTCGACTTACTATCATAACTGAGCCCAAAATTTATATTGCTAAGCGAGAAATTTGTGAAGTGAGTTTTGTCCCATTTTACGACCTTTCGTGCCACCGTGGTTTTAAGTGAATCACTGCAGCTGTTCAGTTAGCAACAGGGATGGTAAGTTAATCTCGCTTCCCCACTGACTTTGCCTGGGTAATCACGGGACCGTCATAAGTGAGAGTCAGCTGCCAAGCATCTGAATTTTGATCATATAACCACGGGGACGCTGCAGCGGTCATAAGTTTGAAAAACTGTCGTTGACTTTTTTTCAGTATCTTGTAACTTCGAACAATCACTAAATGAACTGTCGTAAGTGGAGGACTAAATGAAGAGGCTCACCTTCCAGGATCCTTGATGATCCACCAGTTATTCACATCCTTAAAAGGATAGCAGGTCACCTGTTGCTGATGGGAACTGCCCCGCCCGTTTTCATATCTGGGGAAGACACAGAGGAAATGGGACTTAATTGCAGAAAAAAAGGAACACAAGATAATCCGAAAGGCTCTTTTAGGTCACAGGGAAAATAATATTTGTTTTCTGCATTTAATAGGAAGAGAAGACACAGATATCAGCCCTTTGAGGAGCGCAGGATCAGAAAAAAAAGGAGAGAGAAATTTGATGCTCTCTGAGCTTGGTGAAGTTTGGTCTTCTTCTGGGAGCCGGGCCCTTTGCCAAACTGGCCATCATCAGGCAGATAAATATAAACAACATGTACATATCATTCAAAAGAGACAATAAGCCAAAAAAGAGAGCAAATTAACAAGAAAACCACCAAGCAATTAACACCAAGATTAATATTAGATTAACGATCAAGATGTGGTGGCTAAGAGGCTGAGCTTGTCAATCAGAAAAGTTGGTGGTTTGAATCCCTAGGGCCGTGTAACAGAGTGAGCTCCCGTGACTTGTCCCAGCTTCTGCCAACCTGGAAGTTCGAAAGCAAAGAATGCAAGTAGAAAAACAGGAACCACCTTTGGTGGGAAGGGAAGAGTCTTCCATGAGCCTTGGGCGTTGACTCATGCCGGCCACATGACCACGGAGACGTCTTTGGACAGCCCCGGCTCTTGGGCTTTGAAACGGAGATGAGCACCGCCTCCTAGAGTCAGGAACGACTGGCACACATGTGTGAGGGGAACCTTTATCTTTACTTAACAATCAAGAAGCAAACAAGGACCCCACCGTCCTCCTCCTCCTCCTCCTCTCCACAAACCCCACACCCATTCTAGCGCTGATGATGTTCCTTAGTCGGGTAATGAAACATCTGCAAGAAAACCTCCCGTCTCACCTGATGGGGTAGGTATTCCGGTGGGAGTGAAGCCAACACGGTAACGGTTTCCCCAAGATATTCCTCAAAGTAATCTGGGAACCATAAGCCACTTCCAAGGGCTGCCCCTGAGTGATACGAGAAAGACCTCCCTAAAAACACACACACACACACACAGTTTGTTACGCAATCTGGAAAAAACCATCAGCATATTTTTTTTTAAAAAAATAACATTTACAGATCCTACTGATTCTGCATATAGTCCTTGACTTAGGAGTTCATATTAGTGACCATTCAAAGTTCAACCCCAATGAAAATGGGGTGTTCTGACTGTTTTTCACACTTACGAGCATGGCAGCAACCTCATGGTCCCGTGATCAAAATTCGAAAGTTTGGCAATTGACACGGACTTATGACTGTAGCAGTGACCTGGGGACACTTTAGCGACCTTCAATGGAGAAGCCAGACTGACTTAACAATGTGTTACTAAGTGAACAATGTCAGTGATTCAGTTAACAACTATGGCAAGAAAGGTCGCAAAACAGGGCGGATGTCTCTCTTAACAAACAGAAAGGTTGGGTTCGATTCTGGCCATGTTGAAGTCTACCTGTATAGAAATGAGTAAATCCCAATAAATAAAAAAAGGAAGCAGGAAGAGCAGATAAAGTCCAGCACGGGGTGGAGAGAAGGAAGGGAGGAAGAAAGGAAGAAAGAAAAAGAAAGAGAGGAAGGGAAGAAATAGAAAGGGAGAGAGGGAAGAAAGAAAGGGTGGGAGGAAAGGAGAAAAGAAAGAAAGAAAAAAGATGGTAGGAAGGAAGGAAAGAAAGAAAGAAAGAAAGAAAGAAAGAAAGAAAGAAAGAAAAGGAAGGAAGAAGAACAGGGAAGGAAAGAAAAGAAATGGAAAGAATAGGGAAGGAAGGGAAGACTCCAAAATTTCTCCACTTTTAACCGATTAGCCCCAGATGCAGCTCGGTCTCACCTCTAAACTAGCTTGAAAGGCGCTGCTCATGATTTGATCGTGGGGGCCGGATCGGCACAGCAAAATCAAATGGATGTAGAAAAATGAGAGATAGAGAGCGATGGGGAGGATCAGGAGAGCTAAACTCCGGGCCAGAAAATGGCAGAGTAGAGAGACCTAAAATGGAAAAGGCAGAAGTTTGTCACGTTTGTCCTAATGTGTTTTCTCAACGAAAGATTGCCGGATGAGGCTAAATAATAATCCTAATTTGTCTTAATAAGGCTAAAATAACTCACTCTAAATAATCTGAGCCCTAAAACTTTAACAGGTGTGTGTCTCTGTGTGTTAGACATATGAGGAGAAGGGCTTCTTGTTTAAGCTTAAATCAATTAAAATTTTATTTTATTCCCTTTGCTCTGCCTTTGTTATGTTTAGAAATAATTCAAGTGCCTGCGTGTGCCTGATACTCTTTCCTCTTCCTATTTTCCCCATAACAACCACCCTGTGAGGTGGGTTCGGCTGAGAGAGAGAGGGAATGGCCCAAAGTCACCCAGGCAGCTTTCATGCCTAAAGCAGGACTAGAACTCACAGTCTCCTGGTTTAATACACCAGCACTTTCACTACTAGACTGAACTGGCTCTCCAATCATTCATTCATTCAATTAATCAATCGATCAGACACTATGATTCTGCCTATCAAATTTACATGGTAACCAATCTCACACAAGGTAACTCTAGGCAGCATACTGAAAAACATGAATTAATTCCAAATAGATACTTATGACAGAGACATGTATTCATGATCATTTGATGTTATGTTTCATTCATTTAACCATCATAAATGTTTAGGTTTTTCCCCACTAAAAATAAAATCTATCAACCAGTCTCTTTGTCTTCTATCATCTCCTCCCCTCTCCCTCCTTTCTCTATCTATCNCTGCCTCGCCGGCATCCTGCCATCAAGGGATGGAAGGGAGAGAAAGGATGGAAGCGCAATAAAGCTGTGTGTGTACGTGATGGGAAATCGGAAGTGCATAGGGATTGACAAAAATCAATAAATGGAACTTCAATTCCCAGAATCCCCTGGACAAGCACAGCTGCTGCTGAGAATTGTGGGAAATGAAGTCCACCCTGTGACTTTATTGTAGGCTGACTTTCTGGCCCTTTCTCTCACCTGCAGTTCCGTGAACTTGGCAACAAATGTGAGATTCTGGCTGATGTTGATCTGAGTGGGCAGATGCAATTCCACCTCTCTCTCTTTTTGCTCATGGCCTGCAAAAGATTAAAATGAGAGAGATCTGAAAAAACAGGTTAGTTGGGGCAAAACCATTTGGGTCAAGCCCTTGACTTACAAGAGTTCATTTTATGACCGTTTGAAGTTACAACAGCACTGAAAAAAGCGACTTATGATTGCTTTTTATACTTATGACCATTGCTGCGTCTCCGTGCAAATTCAAACACTTGGCAACTGGCATGTTGTGGTGTCCCGGGGGCCACGTGATGCCCTTTTGCAACCTTCCGATGAGCAAAAGCAACAGGGAAATCAGATTCACTCAAGGACCAGGTTATTAACTTATCCACCGCAGTGATTCACTTAACAACCATGGCAGGAAATGTCGCAAAATAGGGGAAAACTCACTTAACAACAGTCTCATTTGGCAACAGGAATTTTTTTAGGCTCAATTGTGGCCATTAAGTCGAGGTCAATTTCTCCAGGTATGGACTGAGTGGGGGGGAAAAACAAAGTCTTTCCAGAACTTTGAATGGGGAGGGAATCTTGATTCACGTACAGAGGTTTTCCTAAAACAGAGGTCAGCAATCTGTGGCTCTGGAGCCACATGTGGCTCTTTCATCCCTCTGCTGCGGCGCCATGTTGCTCAAAATATACGTCACAACCTCCAGTGTGTGATACCTACCGGCATGCGATGTACTGAGCTTTTCCACCCCCAGTAGGCCAACCACAGATAAATCCAAGAAAAGAAGAGTTTCGGGAGAAAACAGAACCTCTAGTTTTGTGGCCGCTCAGGAAATAATCAGGCACGGGAAGGGTTTTGTGGCTCCCGGTGTTTTCTTTTCTGTGGGAAATGGGTCCAAATGGCTCTTTGAGTGTTTAAGGTTGCCGACCCCATCCTAAAAACTAACTTTTCCCATAACGGTGTTCTTCCACGTTCCACAACATGCTTTGATGGTACCCCTTGGAGATCTTCTCGCCAATCACCTCCAGTTGTCGGTACCCCCACTCGGGAAGAGAGGCTCCGCTGAGCTGGAGGGGAGAAAAAGAAGGGAATGGTTTAAAAAAAGAAAGAAAAAAAAAGAGGTTTAAAATGCCAAACCAGGCTTCAAGAGGTTGAAAGATCTGAGAGATCTTTGTTTGAAATGGTACAGAGTAGTTGGACTAGAAGACCTCTAAGGTCCCTTCCGACTCTTATCCCAACTCTTACTCTGACTACATGCCTTCTCTGTAACATTGCCTGCAAGAAACACCAAAGGTTGAGACTCCAAGCCTACTCACTCACCTTTAACACGGCCGACGTGTTGACGTGGACCAGTCTGACTTCGGACAGGATCGTTTTCCAAATCTCATTATCCGAGTCGCGGTTCACAATTTCCTGTGTGTTTGAAAGAGACGCTTCCTGATGCTGCAGTTTGGCTGCTAATACTCTGCCTTCATTGCTCCTACCACGTCATCGAGTTTCAGCATCTGATATTGTCAGAGTTCCAAATAGCATCCAAAAGTAAATCAGAGGCCGAGGCAAAGTTCCCATTGATGAAGAGAGCCATGTTGGCACAGCTGGGAAAATCCAAATCTGAAAGCTTCCCGGTTTTCCCCACCCAGTTGAAAGTTCAAGATCTTGCCCCCACACCCAGCAGCCCATCTTCCACTGCCATGCTGGCAGTTCTACCCATCCCGGTCAGGTGCAGAGGTACAGAGACAAAGGATGACCTTGGCTTTCTAGAAATAATTTTGTTATGGCTACATAGCATCTCACTCCTTACAATCCCCCCTCCCATTTTCCCACAATACAAAATGCCTAGTAGAATATTAGAAAGTGTGGCAGGCCAAAGATCCAAAGGAAAAGAAGGCTGCAGGCAGGCCTGCCAGATATATAACTAGATTAGGAAAGGGGTTAAGAGCCAGGATAGTGCTATGATGGCGCAGTGGTTAGAATACGGCATTGCAGGCTAACTCTGTCAACTGCCAGCAGTTCAAGGTGGACTCAGCCTTCCGTCCTTCCGAGGTGGATAAAATGAGGACCCAGATTGTTGGGGACAAGATGCTGACTCTATGAACCACTTAAAGATGGCTGTGAAAGCAGTATGATATTGCTGTGTTTATTTATTTATTTATTTTTTAGTTCCACTTTAAATCCAATGCTTTTAAATTCTACAGCCTGCCACTTACCACCCTCCAGAGATTCTGAGCGGGCATGGAAATGTTGTAATCGATGTAACAGGATACCTCTTGGGAATGCGGGCTGAGGGGTGCAGCCACATCATGCCTGCAGAGTAGAGAAAGCAACGGAAAAGAATACTTGGAGCTCATGGTCGGACTGTGGAGTCCCTGGTGCTCTCTGTAGTGGTTGGTTTTCTTGGCAGATGTTTCATTACCCAACTAGTTAACATCACCATAGTTAGAAGGGAGTAGGATGGAGGGAGGGAGGGAAAGAGGGAGGGAGGGAGGAAGGAAGGAAGGAAGGAAGGAAGGAAGGAAGGAAGGAAG